AATCTGCTTCCATACGTTTGAGCAGAAACTGCTGAGTATGGTTATGAAGCTCAGTAAACCCATACAGAAGCCACATGAGAAGTGACCAAGGCTGTACCAAAAATCATCATTCTCCTTTTTCTCAAAGAGGTCTTTTAACACATTCCTTTTTTTTATACCAATTTAATGCAAACTTTTTTTTTCTAAGTTAACCAAGCCCACATAAAACTTCGCTGACTAATGTGTTCAACATACAGCATGATTTTTTTTTAATTGAAGTATTGGTGATATACAATCTTATGTTGGTTTCAAATGTACAAGACAGTGGTTCAACAGTTAACCATCGTATTAAATCCTCACCCCCTCTAGTGCAGTTACCATCTATCAATGTAGAAAGATGTTACAGAATCACTGACTGTATTCTCCATGCTCTACTACCATCCCTGTGACCAACTTTTACTGTGATTGTGAATTATTATACAGCATGCAGATTTTAAAACATCAGACTGGATCTCTGGAGAAGGAAAAGTAAGATCATCAGGGTATTTCCACGCCTGGAAAAGAAATTCGGACACCTTATTTTCAGAACTAAGGCTGTCCAGGATTCAAGAAATCTGATCAGAGGTTTTTCTTATAACCATTGTAATGTCACTTATAATTGCAAAGTGTGTTTGAGGAGGCTGGCTTACCTCTGGATGAAAGCATAGCAAAACTGCAACACAGGGATGTCCACGAGGGGCGCTTTCTGAAAATTAAAGCAAAACCAGTTCCTCCAAACTGGAAGGAAGTTAAGGCTAAAAAACAATTCAAATATGAAATGAAACAGACTCTTAATTCTAACAAAGGTTTTTAGCCAGTGTCTCTCAAATGCAATAACAGAAGAGGAAGTCTCCCGCAGCGTGGCATACACAAATGTGTTCTATGAGGTCCCCAAACATCAGTGCCTCTTACCAGACATCCAGAGAGTGATTCCCTTTGTGTCCACCTACTTCCCATTCCAGGCTTTTAGCAAATATCCTGGAAAAATGTGGCTTCTAATTGAACCTCCCCAAACAAAAGTTGGTGGCCAATGTTGATCCTTAGGAATGCATGCCACTAGCCTCGGACAAGAGACAATAAAGAATTCTAATTCTTTGCTCAAGGAATTCCTTCAAATTCAGCCCAGATAATTTCCCTAAATCCCAAGTGGCTGCAAGTACTTGGAAACTGGTTTTCCAAGCACATATTTTCCCACTCCTTGTTTGAAAATGCCATTTGTAGAAGTCATCGAAGTTGAGCTAATTAACTACAAAATGTAATTTTGTGATTCCAACAGCCAAACACCAGTCAGCCAGATAAGATCTAAGTTTATTTTAGCCCAAGAGTTGCAGATATTTGTAGACATTCAAGCAACATGCAGGAAAATGGAGGCCTGCTCTGTGTATAAAGCTGTGGCAGAGCCTCTGACCAAGGGCAGCTTCCTGCATGTGGCCTTGCTGCTCTGCTCTTACAGGACCATGCTCAGCATGTAAGCTCAATTTTTTGACCCTGGACACCTGCTCAGTTTTAAATGCAAATCCACCCGGGGTCTGCCAGCCCCTGCATCCCTGCTCCTCTCTGCAGTGCTAAATGCTTTAATAATCACCCGTGGGTGAAAGGCAGTGAGACCAAAGGCCTTCTGGAGGAGACCCAGGGGCCCACATGCATTTGACAACCAATTCCTTCAAGCACTCTCCAGGTGTTAATCTTTAGGCTGGCTTATCTTCTTTCCCAACCAGAACACCAGTTCACGGAGGGCAGGAACAGTTTCACTAAGGACTCCACACCCCTGACGTGGGATGAAGGAGGGGATGGGCCCCGAGTGTAACTGGGTAGGGAGCCACCAGCAGGACATTCCTGCAGAGGGCTACCCTGTGCCACATGCAAGGTACCCTTTCGGAGGAGGAGCCCCAAATGGAGGGCTCTGCTCCAAGGCAGGAAAAGCTGGGAAAACTGGTAAAGATATCCCTGGTTGATTTTCTCACTATGGGGTGAAGAATAGCTGGAAACATTTCTAATTCCAAGTTTGAGCTTTTGTTCATCATTCCAGGTGTGATGACTTTAAAGAGACCTGAACAAACACTAGCGTGGTTTCTAGCAGCCCAAGGCCTTGTCCCTCAGATGATGACCCCAGCCCCCTTAAAATGCCTGCCTGCGAAAGCTCAAGGCTGCCAAAGCGATATGCTCTTTATAACCCAATACCAGATAGGTCCCCTGACCTCCCTTCTCAGATTTATTAAGAAAGGTATATAGTTACAAATCCTTCCTTTGTCCTTTTGAGATGTATATGCATTTTCCACAACCCAGGAGCTTCTTTCTCAGAGACCTGGGGGCCATCCCTTTAAAATATCGTCATCAAGGATGACAGGGCCTGTCTCCTAGTCTTCCTGGGAGTATAGGTGCCTACGCCCCACAGGTACCAGTTAGCAGACCCAGATGGCCTAGTCACATCACCCAAGCCCCTTTCCCGTTTTGCCCTGACTTTGCTGGGGCCCCTGCTTGTTCACCCTTGCTTCTCCCTCAAAGGACCAGTTAAAATACTGGTTACTTCTGTACAACTCAGATTTGAGCTCAGCTCTCTCTTCTACCACAGGAGTTACTGAACAAAACTGGTAAGAGCATCTACATCCTACAACTCTGGGAATTCCTAGAGGCTCTTAAGACTTCTGTTTCCCTTCCAAACGCCACCTCCAAGATGTGGAGTTGCAAGCATGCCACACATTCATTTGGAGGGTCCCCAGGCCCCTGACCTCATCCCCTCGGATCTGCGGCGGCCTCTTCACCACCTCCTTCACCAGGTGCAGTATTGTGTCTGTCTGCAGGGAGCTGAGTGCACACATCAGGTCGACAAGGGTTAGCTGGGATGCACTTGCTATTGGAACAATCTGCAAGAAAAAAATAATTCCTTTAAAGCTTACAGAGGGAAAGCAAAAATAGGAACAATGCTCAGAAAGTATTCTGTAAGAGTTGCCCCTAGAGACAGATCTGTTTTAACCTTTTAAACAAATACTTAAATGAGAACTGAGTAAAGGGCTCTTTACCCTTATTGGCAGGAATAAGGGGAGCTGAGCATTTGACCACAGTAACATGATGAGTATCTGATATGAATTAGGAATAAAAGGTGCAGTTGATGATGGGTAGTAACATAGGTTACATTCAAGCTTAGAAAGTATTTTAGAAACAGACACACTTCATTTGAAGGATACAGTTTTGCATGGAGAGATGGTCCCAAAAGTATGAGAATGGTAAAAAAAAATAGAGTAATCTGGCTCATGTCAGCTGGCCCAACCAGGCAAGGGTCCCACAGGGGCAATGAGCCATTCCTTAATGTGGGTGGGAAGCTCATGGTGGGGTTTTTATTCTTTGAAATATACATGTCACATATATTTTTGTACATATGCTGTTAGATATAAGATTAAAAAGGTTAAACTGAAGTATTGTATTTTCATTATAGAGAGATCAGGAAACAAGTCTGGGGTGGCCTCTGCCCCCCACCCATCCAACACACAATTCTAGCTATACTGAGACACACATTTAAAACAGTGAAACTGCTTCAGTGGCTTCCCATGTTGGCTTCCGAGGTCACCTCTGATCACACGTGACTTTGGTGTTTTTGGCAGAGTAGGTTTAACTTCAACTCTTTCAGACTTTACCTTCACCTTGCCATGACGTTTAACCTTCCTGTTCCACACGGCGGCAACAGCGGCTGTTAGCTGAGTACCATGGTGGGCTGTCAAGGGGTTCAAGAAGTCTAGAATTTTTTGTCGTAAGGTCTAGAAAATGGAAAAAAAGAAGAATGTGGCAGAGCAGTATGGGGCTGTCACACAGTGTATACTTCACCGCCTCTGCCTGTAAAAACAGGAGCAGGAGCTCATGGCCTCGGGCCCGGGAAGAGGGGGAGCTGGCCCCCTCCCGGAAGACTGGGATGTGGGAGGGCGTGTGAGATGGAGGGGGCAGCCAGCTGGGCAGGAGGGCCCCTGGTGATGAGGAGTACCCCGCTGAGGAGCCGTGAGCAGGCAGCGGCTGGAGGGCAGCACCCAGCGCTCTACAGAGACTAAGCCTTCAAGCTGGCACTGTTCTGTCCCGAAATCCTCCAGCTGGTTTTGTCTCAGTCAGCTCAGGAAGGGTTTTATTCATTAGGAAAGATTTTTTCAATTTCCAGAAATAAGTACCATTTGACCAATTTTACTATTTAGTAACATGGCCTCAGACATCACTCACCACTCTCTCTTTTGCTACATGTAGATTTTTCTCCATTCCTGAAACCTGCTGAAGGGCAACTTCCTCAGTAAATCCTGTGGGTCTCCCAGCCTCTGACACCCCTTCCCTGGTCAAGTCCTTTAAACCTGGGGTCTCAGCTCAGCCACTCTGCTTAGGGAAGGCCTCCCTTCAACCCCCAGACCAGGGCAGGTTCCTGGGTCACATGCTCAGAATGCCCTGTGTTTATTTGTAGCATTTCACATCACTATTTCTAAACTGCCAGTTAATGTCTGTGTCTGCCATGAAGGCGAGGATCTCCTCTATCTTGTCCACAGTGTATAAACAGGGCCAGGAACATGGCAGCAGACATGCAACTATCTATCGAATGACCGAACTGACTGGGGGCTTTCTATGTCCCTACCCCGTGTTCAGTGTCCCGTTAGATAAAATGGAGCATGGGACGGAGATGCCTCCCCATTCCGCCATGGCTTCTAATTAAGAGAAAGAGAGCCTACTGAGGGTCCCAGCCCAAGGTCTTGGGTCCTACAGGGAAGGCTTAGTGTTAAGTGCTCAATAAATGCTAGGGATTATCAAAATTAATCTTTCCATCAGATACCACAAGATAGCATACTGATAACAGACTCACTTCACAGATGAGGAAACTGAAATGCAAACAGTTAGGAGCCTATGGGTTTTCTGAACCTTTTTCAGAGCACAGCTAGGCTTAATTTAAGCAGGTTCCCATGACAGCTTGAAATACAAATTACCCTTGGAGGGTACCCTGGAACCCACAGAATATTCTGGAGGCCACCCGTGCATCACAGTACCTAAAAGACTGCTAGGGCCAAACCTCAGCACAGCTGCCGTGCAATTGAGTGCAAAGCACTCACTCTCTCTATGCCCCAAAATTCTCATCTGGAATCTGGGAGTAATAGTAGTACCTACTTCATAGGTAAGGATTAAAGATGCAATAAAGAGCGCTCTGGCCCATGCCAGGCATCAGGCTTCCACCCGAGGTTAATGAACTGGTCCAGGGCACCACAGGGTGGGGTGACCTAGGCAGTTTGGGCACCTCAGGCTCTGAACCCTCAGCTCAGCCGGGGCTGACAGAAGCTTGTGTAAGCCCTGCGGACAGCCCAGGCACGGGGGGTGCTCGGCCGACACATCATGTGGCCAGGTGATTCTGGGCCCCCAGATATGGATGGCAATTAGAGCCTGAGTCTGGATGCTTCCAAGACAGAGACGGTCAGAACGAAGGGAGTGTGGACTAGAAATGTTCAGGGTTTAATGAAAAACTCAAGGACACCAACATTCCACCTTGACGTGGCTGTGTGTTTAAAGGCAGAACATAAGAGAGAAGCTGTCTTCAAAGTGCTGAGGAGAAGCGGGTGAGGACCTTGGACCCCCAGAGACTATTTGAGTTTAAAAGTAAAAAGGGCAAAGGGAAAAAAGCAGGCTGAAAACCACTCACAGAGCCTTTCTTTTCATGAATAGGAAAGTGATTCTAATAAACAAACTGAAAATTTCTACTTCCAACTTATACCTAACAGGTTTCATTGAGCGTGTTATGTTAGATTACTTCTGTATATATCCCTCCATGTATTTATTTTTGGTGGGACAATATAAGACAAAGGAAACAATGAAACCACAGAGGGAGGTCTCTCACTTTGGTGGTTTTAAAGTAAACGGAAGAGGATCCCTTTGTGGCTCCAAGGAGATCAACCGGTCTCTTTTGAGTCTCCTCCTTTCTGAGAACATTCCAGAGAAGGGCCATGGTGTTAACAATTCGAGGCAACTCTTCCAGAATGGCATTCCTGGCATTTTTCAGATTGGTAGGATCACTCACAACAGTGGTCTATAAATGAAAACAAACACATGAGACTCGGCTGTGTGTGTGGCACCATTTCACTTCCCAGGAGGACAGGGTGATCATGTACAATGTCTGGGCTGTTGCACTCTCCTGAGCAAGCCCCATTTGTGCCAGTCTGGAAGCAAGGTGCTTCCCTGTGCATTTAAACCCCTGGCTCTCTTTCAAAGAGGGACGTCTGTGCTTTTGAGGTTCCACATTACAAACTCAATCATTCAAACAAGGCTGCATTCTAAAATTTAATCCCAGATAGCATAGGGCAACTAATAGCTAAAATGTCTTCAAATGCAGATTTCACAAACACTATGAGGTCAAGTAAAAACTAAATGGGAAAAACATGACATTTTGTCCTCTTTGGTTGCTGATGAAGCAGTGGGCAGAGCACAAGGAGCGCCAGAAAACAAAACCACATCTGCATTACTCACATACCTCCATTTGCATGCACATTTGCATTACCTGCATGCATATATTTGCATACATATTTGCATTACTTACATACATACATTTCTCACTTGAAAAGCCATGACCCAGTGAAGATAAAACAGTGAGAAAATTGCCTCGAACTCAGGAAATAAATCATTTACCTTTTTATTTTGGTTGGATTGTTCCAAAAGACAAAAATGACTAATAGTTGTTAGACCTTCCAAAAGAGTGAGTGGATAATCCGGAGAAATGTTTTCCCTCTTGGAGGTTATGCTTTGGTGAAGAAACAAGAAGTTTGGTTTTGAGAATTTTTAAGAATAAGGCCAGAAAGGTTTTTAATCTTACCTTTAAACATAGAAACCAGAGAGCTACCACCATCTAAATAAATGGGGCCTTCATAATGCAATAGTGTTACAATACAATGGGCATCTTCTGTGCTATTTTATACTCATATAGTCACTTTGGAACAATGATTTTAGACATTTCAGAATTTCTGTAAAGGTGATTCATGTTTTTATTTCTGTTTTGCAAAATAACAGAGAGTGACTGACTTGTCCTATAACACTGAGCTAGCCTGGTACTGGTGAGGAATTAAAAATGAAGGATGAGAGCAGTTAGCTGGTTATCCCTCTTGACAACGCTAACTAGGCTTCTGATTAGGTTGAAATTATCCTCCAGCTGGCTTCTACAGCAAAGCAGCCCTTTAAAAAAAACTCTCATTAAAGCAATAATAATGCATCAAAGAGTTCGTCATACCTGATAGAGAGCTTCACAGATTCGCTTTCATACTGTTTGACCAACTCATCCAAATTTTTGCAAATCTGGACAATGAAGGGTGTCACCGTCCATCCCAGGGACTTTCCAAAGTATGGCAAGGAATGGGTGACCAAGCTCACCCAGGCTGGGTGCATGCCATAGCCGTAGGCTGGCTTCAGGCCTCTCACCACAGCGGACACCAGCAGCCCCTGGGAGGTGAGGGGGTGGGGCTGCACATACTGCATAGCACTGATGGCCTGCTGGAAGTTAAGGGACCTCTGCCACTCCCGAGACAGGTCTGGCTGGTGTTCAGCCTCCTCGTGGACCTGGCCCAAGTGATGTTCTAAGACAATAAGCACCTGCAGGAGCTTCAGCAGTTCAATCTGCAGAGGGTGCTCACTCCAGATCTGATCCTGGCCCAAGTTGATGAGACTCTCCTCAAAGAGGCTGTCCTCCTGCAGGGCCCGGCCTCGCTCAGCAGTGGCCAGCCCGTAGCGCTTCTGGCTCGTATGCATGGATGCCACCAGGGAAAGCAGCACCAGCTCCTGGACTTTGCACTTCTCTAGCAAGCTGTGGATGAACTCCACGTTCTTCCCCTCGGCAGCCTTGGCCACCAATACTAGCTGCATCATTATTCGGATCAAAACCTCCACGCTTTTGACCTGCACATCCCGGTTGCCAAGGATGTCTCGGTGGGAGACCTTTAAGTAACATGGGTAATAGCTGCGTAGGAAGCTCAGGCACAGGTATGTGAGGAGCTCGATGAGCAGGGGGTGAGGGCAGACGTTGGGGGACTGAGTCTGGAGTTTTCCGTAGAAACTCTGGCCAACGAGGGCCTCCTGGTGGCGAGCAAGGAGGTTGGAGATGAGGTTGAGGTGCGCAGTGGAGCTGGTGTCCATGCTGGTCCTGGCCACGGCCTCGATAAATTCCTTGGGGTTGGTCTTGAGCACGGCCTCTAGCACCGAGAAGGCATAAAGAACTCGCCGGGAGTCATAGGGCTGCAGGTAGAGCAGAATGTGCTTAAACAAGGCCTCGATTGTCTCCTGCCTCTCCCGCTGCTGCCTCAGCAGCCTGGATGTGGTGAGGGCCTGGAGCTCCAGGTCGGCCTCCTCGTCACTGGAGAGCGACTCCGATGCCTGGGTTTTGTCTGAGTCCACACGCGCCAGGCTTAACTGGGCACTGGACTGGAAGCTTTCTGCCTGGCAGGCTGTGTGCTTGGGGTGCGGCCTGCCACCTGTGCGGAGGGGTGCACAGCAGTTCTCTTCATTGCTCAGCTCCTGCGGGTCATGGGAGGGTGAGGAAAAGGGGGACGTGGTCTCACTGTCTGTGTGGGCAGAGCTCGTGTCTGCAGAGTCGGTGTGCTCGCTGCTGTCCAGGGCACCGCTGGCCATCCTGTTGGGGAGGTCCACGTAGTAGGGAAGGTCGTCCTCGCTCAGCTCGCTTCTCAGCGGGCACTTCTCTGGTTCCTTCTCCACCTCGGCCCAAATGGCCTCTCGGTCCACAGTGGCAAACTGGCTCAGAGGCATGCTTTCTTCAGAGCTGCCCTCCGGAGGCTCAGGCTCTCCACACGCCTCTTGGAAAGAGGTTTTCTTCCTGTGAAACCAACGATGCAAGTCTTCTGAAAAATACAAAATGACAAACGACTTCAGAATAGCTGGGTTAGCTATGATAAGATGGTTCTAGAGTGATCTTAAAGCCAGACAGAAAGACCTATGTTAACAAAATCCCTCCATGAAATGTCAACACTAGAGTCCAGATTATATTATGGGCAAAAGGTAGACAAGTGAAGTGAACAGGGCTTTTAGGTACACTGTCATAGAAATATGAATATCACAACTTTTGTGGGGAAGACGATTAAAAAAAATGCATATTACTTTGCCCCAGGAGTTTCCTTTCAAGAAATGTATCCTACAGAAATGTCAGCAAGTTTTTCAAAGCTATAAGGGTATTCGTTGGAATGGCACGTGTAAAGACAAAACAGTCCACCAACATCGATGTAAGAGACTGAGCAAAAAAATTATGGCCTGTGCATACAATAGGCTACTGTTCAGGTTTATAAAAGATTCACCTATATGTTGTGATATGAAGCCCTGTGAAGGACATGTTAAGAAAAGAAATCACACTGTAGAGAATGAGCCTGTTTAGGGGAGACCATCTGTATATAATACGCACCCATGAAAAAGCCCGGAAGAGTATCTACAAACCACTGATAGGAGCTGGTGCTCTCAACTAACGCTGTAAGAAGCTTCCACTTGCACTTTCACTTCATTATTCCCATTTTTAGAATAAGCATGTTAGTCCTTCTGTAATCAGAAACTGCCCAATACTTCAAAAGATTCTCTTTAAAAAAGAGCAAAAGCCAGAAGCCTTTGGTATTGCCAAACATCTTTAAGATGCAGCCTTCCGCCAGTCTCTTCCACGAACACTAAGTGAGATTAGCAAAGGAGGAAGAATAAGAAATTAGAAACAGATGACCTGCCTCGTGTGCACAGTAATATTATAGAAATACACTTCCATATTACAGAGACAGGGTGGGGGTCGGCACTATACTTCTAGTTGTTTCCGGGGAAAGAACAGGGCAGAGAAAAGGTGCTTATTAGGAGCTAGCTAGAAAACACCGATTAGAAGCAGCAGCAGAAAGTGCTGTGAAACTTTAAAACCCAATCAACCATGGAGTGAGAAATTTCTTCTTAAAAGAGACAGAGGAATACGAAAGAAGTTAGCCATCATAAATGACAGCCAAACTTTCAAGAAGGTGCTTGATTTGTGCTTCTTCAAATTTTACTTTCTTACAACGTGAAATAAGCCTCCTCTTTGAGAAGGCACCCAGCTTCCCTTCCTAAAGGAAAGCTACAGGTTGTAGCTTGAGGCAAAAAACCTTGTAACGGGTGGAAGCCATCGCAGAAATCTTTGCTGATTTAGGTATTAGGCTGTTTTTCTCTGTAAGACAAACAGAATATCTACAACTCTGTGAGCTAAACTAACTCAAAGCTTGTAAAACCATCGCTTACAGAACTGCAGTATATTTTATTAAATCTGTTAAAAATGCCTCTGGAAATTCTCAGAACTCAAAGGTTTATTTCTTCAGCTTTTCTGATTCTATGTTAACAGAATTTTACAACTTGGAAAGAACCTTAGAGTGAAGACAGAGAAGAAACCACTTATCTTGTCATTAAACTTCACAAATAAATGTTATTTTTACAGATAAAGTACAACTGACCAAATCACATATAAATTTCGACATTCTCAGTCATACCTGGAAGCAACCTAAACCGTCCCACCCCAGGCCCAGGCAGGACTCCGGAGAGCAGTGCTGACCTCACCCACCCGAACTACATCACACAGACATCAAACTGTGAGTCATCTTTCATCGTTAAGGTGCTGACTTTGGGGACGCTTGGCTAGGTGTCTTATTCTCTCTCCCTACCTTAAATGCACTTGAATTGTTTTTTCTAGCAAGAATCAAGCATCAGCTATTTTATTAGAGCATACATTACTAGAATGTATCTTTTCTTAAAAAAAAAAAAAACCCTCTGAATTTCCTGTGAAAACAACAAACCCACTCGCTTGCACATCTAAGTGCTGGTTCATCTGATGCTTAAATCCGAAAAGTCCCCACAACTCACAAAGTGGCCTCTCACTATTTCAGTCTAGCAAAACCATGAAGTGGGTCTAAGTGCCTGAACTATAGCAATGGGCAGCTAGTGACCAAATGCCCCTTCCTGCCTCCCAGGCTCAGGGATCCTGGGACACACAGCTGCCTGGCCACCCTATGTGGCATGGTCACCTGCTGAGTTCTCCTGCTTCAGGCAGTGAATGGAGGTCCTCTGGGTTCTGGGCTGGAGCAGCAGCAGGAGCACGGGTTCCAGGATGCGTGCTACATCGCCGAGGGACAGCGCCCGCACCAGCCAGCCCTGGGCTGCTGCGCTGATGGCACCGTCCGTGCAGGCCAGGCTGTCCAGCACGACGAACAAGGGCCTGTGGGCGAGAGGCAGTGTTCAGCGCCTCTGTGCACCAGGATGCACTCAGGGAGCCTCACCCAATGTGGGCCTGTAGACACAGGCAGACAAGGACATGGGATTTCAACCTTGGTTTTGGGCTAGAACGACTGGGAGAGCTTTTAAAATCCTGATGTCCAGGCCTCGGCCCAGTTGGTTTAATCCAACTGTGAGGGTGGGTCCCAGGCATCAGAATCAGCTCAAGTCTCTCTGGGCCTGTGTGCTTGGCCCTATACCTAGAGTTTTGGAAACACCTGTGAAAAAGACAACACGGAATAGACTGTATTGCAGTTAAGATTCATATTGTAAGCATACGGTTGTTGACATGACGGAGTACACACACTGAGCGCAGCTACTGCCGGGATCAAGACCTCAACCATGTCCATCTCCCTGCAAAGGGCACTCGCACTGCATGCTCCCAAACCTCCTCAGGGGATTCTGACTTGGGCTCGGCTTCCTCCCTCCACAACCAAAGGAAGAAGATTCCTACCACATATTCACACATGTCCAGCCTAAATTCACTTAGGAGATCAGGGGGAATCGTTTCCTGTGCACCAAGAAAACGGAGTCGTGTTTTCAACTTGACATACCCCCTCCCTGGCCCCACACACTCACCGGGAGCCTCTGCCCAGTGTCCTCTGTGTTAATGGTGAGTTATAATGAGGACCACCTCACCTATCAAAGGAGCGGTTGTGAGATGTCACTCGGCTGCCTTGGATCTCTCTTGTCAGGTGCCAGATGACGGAAAACCGAAACAGAGCTTCCAATCTTGTTCCCTTGAGTAGGAAACAGACGGGGTGAAGAACCTGGTTTCATAACAGAACCTGTTTTCTTTCTTTTTTTGTTATGAAGGTATTGTTGATATACACTCTTACGAAGGTTTCACATGAAAAGACAGTGTGGTTTATACTTAACAGCAAGAAGCTGAAAGCTTTTCCTTTAAGATCAGGAACAAGACAAAGATGCCCACTCTGCCCACTTTTATTCAACATAGTTCCGGACGTCCTAGCCACGGCAATCAGACAACACAAAGAAATAAAAGGCATCCAGATTGGCAAGGAAGAAGTTAAACTGTCACTGTTTGCAGATGACATGATATTGTATATGAAAAAACCTAAAGAATCCACTCCAAAACTACTAGATCTAATATATGAATTCAGGAAAGTTGCAGGATACAAAATTAATATGCAGAAATATGTGCCATTCCTATACAGTAACAATGAACTAGCAGAGAGTGAAATCAGGAAAACAATTCCATTCACAATTGCATCGAAAAGAATAAAATACCTAGAAGTAAACCTAACCAAGGAAGTGAAAGACCTATACTCTGAAAACTATAAGACACTCATGAGAGAAGTTAAAGAAGATATCAATAAATGGAAACACATCCCATGCTCACGGATAGGAAGAATTAATATTGTCAAAATGGCCATCCTACCTAAAGCAGTCTACAGATTCAGTGCAATTCCTGTCAAAATACCAACAGCATTCTTCAATGGACTAGAGAAAATTGTTCTAAAATTCATACGGAACTGCAAAAGACCCCAAGTAGCCAAAGCAATCCTGAGAAGGAAGAATAAAGCTGGGGGAATTATGCTCCCCAACTTCAAGCTCTACTACAAAGCCACAGTAATCAAGATAATTTGGTACTGGCACAAGAACAGACTCATAGACCAATGGAACTAGAGGGACTAGATATAAACCCAACCATATATGGTCAATTAATATACAATAAAGGAGCTATGGACATACAATTGGGAATGACAGCCTTTTCAACAATTGGTGTTGGCAAAACTGGACAGCTACATGCAAGAGAATGAAACTGGATCACTGTCTAACCCCATACACAAAAGTAAACTCAAAATGGATCAAAGACCTGAATGTAAGTCATGAAACCATAAAACTCTTATAAGAAAACATAGGCAAAAATCTCCTGAATATAAACATGAGCAACTTCTTCCTGAATGCACCTCCTCAAGGAAGGGAAACAAAAGCAAAAATTAACTCATGGGACTACATCAAACTAAAAAGTTTCTGTACAGCAAAGGACACCATCAACGGAACAAAAAGGCATCCTACAGTATGGGGGAATATATTTGTAAATGACAGATCTGACAAGGGGTTAACATTCAAAATATATAAAGAACTTAGGCCCCTCAACACCCAAAAAGCAAATAACCCGATTAACAAATGGGCAGAGGATATGAAGAGACGGTTCTCCAAAGAAGAAATTCAGATGGCCAACAAACACATGAAAAGATGCTCCACAGCACTAATCATCAGGGAAATGCAAATTAAAACTACAATGAGATATCACCTCACACCAGTAAGGGTGGCCAGCATCGAAAAGACTAAGAACAACAAATGCTGGGGAGGATGTGGAGAAAGGGGAACCCTCCTACACTGCTGGTAGGAATGTAAGCTAGTTCAACCATTGTGGAAAGCAATATGGAGGTTCCTCAAAAAACTAAAACCATCAGTAGATGAATGGATAAAGAAGAGGTGGTACATATACACAATGGAATACTATTCAGCCATAAGAAACAAATCCTACCATTTGCAACAATATGGATGGAGCTGGAGGACATTATGCTCAGTGAAATAAGCCAGGTGGAGAAAGACAAGTGCCAAATGATTTCCCTCATATGTGGAGTATAAGAACAAAGCAAAACTGAATAAACAAAATAGCAGCAGACTCAGAGACTCCAAGAAGGGACTAGCGGTTACCAAAGGGGAGGAGTGTGGGAGGGTGGGTGTGGAGAGAGGGAGAAGGGGATTGAGGGGTACTATGTTTAGTACACCTGGTTTTGGGGATCACGTGGAAAACAGTGTAGTACAGAGAGGGCAAATAGTCAATCTGTGGCACCTTACTACACTGATGGACTGTGATTGCATTGGGGTATGGGCGGGGATTTGATATGATTAAATGTAGTAACCACAATGTTTTTTCATGTGAAACCTTCATTAAGTATATATCAATACCTTAATAAAAAAGAAAAAAAAAAAAGAAAAGATAATGTGGTTACCATATTCACCCATATTATTGAGTCCCCTCCCATACCCCATTGCAGTCACTGCCCATCAGTGTAGTAAGATGCCGCAGATTCACTATGTGCCTTCTCTGTGCTACACTGTCTTCCCCATGATCCCCCACATCATGTGCACCAGTCATTATACTCGTCAATCCCCTTTTCCCTCCCTCCCACACCACTCCCCTTTGGTAACTGCTAGTCCCTTCTTGGAGTCTGTGAATCTGCTGCTATTTTATTCCTTCAGTTTTGCTTCATTGTTATATTCCACAAATGAGGGAAATCATTTGGTATTTGTCTTTGCCTGCCTGACTTATTTCACTGAGCATAATACTCTCTAGCTCCATTCATGTTGTTGCAAATGGTAGGATCTGCTTCTTTCTTATGGCTGAATAGTCTTCCATTGTGTATATGTACCACCTCTTCTTTTTTTCATTTTTATTATTATTATTATTTTATTTTGGTATCATTAATCTACAATTACATGAAGAATACTATGTTTACCAGGCTCCCCCCCCGTCACCAAGTCCCCACCACCTCTTCTTTATCCATTCATCTACTGATGGACACTTAGGTTGCTTCCATATCTTGGCTATTGTAAAAAGTGCTGCAATAAACATAGGGGTGCATATGTCTTTTTGAATCTGAGAAGTTGTATTCTTTGGGTAAATTCCAAGGAGTGGGATTCCTAGGTCAAATGGTATTTCTAGTTTTAGTTTTTTGAAGAACCTCCGTATTGCTTTCCACAATGGTTGAACTAGCTTACATTCCTACCAGCAGTGTAGGAGGGTTCCCCTTTCTCCACATCCTCCCCAGCATTTGTTGTTCTTAGTCTTTTCGATGCTGGCCACCCTTACTGGTGTGAGGTGATATCTCATTGTAGTTTTAATTTGCATTTCCCTGATGATTAGTGATGTGGAGCATCTTTTCATGTGTCTGTTGGCCATCTGAATTTCTTCTTTGGAGAACTGTCTTTTCACATCCTCTGCCCATTTGTTAATCGGGTTACTTGCCGCTTGGGTGTTGAGGTTTGTGAGTTTTTATATATTTTGGATGTTAACCCCTTGTCAGATATGTCATTTACAAATATATTCCCCCATACTGTAGGATGCCTTTTTGTTCTGTTGATGGTGTCCTTTGCTGTACAGAAACTTTTTAGTTTGATGTAGTCCTATGTGCTCATTTTTGCTTTTGTTTCCCTTGCTTGAGGAGATGTATTCAGGAAGAAGTTGCTCATGCTTATATTCAGGAGATTTTTGCTGTTTTCTTACAAGAGTTTTATGGTTTCATGACTTACATTCAGGTCTTTGATCCATTTTGAGTTTACTTTTGTGTATGGAGTTAAACAATGATCCAGTTTCATTCTCTTGCATGTAGCTGGTCCAGTTTTGCCAACCCCAGTTGTTGAAGAGGCTGTTTATTTCCCCATTTTATGTCCACAGCTCCTTTTTCATATATTAATTGACCATATATGGTTGGGTTTATATCTGGGCTCTCTAGTCTGTTAACAGAACCTGTTTTCCACCATAGCAAACCAACTTCCATAACAAAGAAGAGCTCAGCAGAATAACAGCGACCTCAGCAGAGATGCTGGACTCTCTTCTGTGCTTGGTGCCTGCCTAACCTGGCCAGGAGGACAGGATGGCCTGCATCCTCTTTCTTTGCTCCTTTAGTAAAGATGCACTTTTATTAAAGCATGTATTCAAGACTGGCAGCAGCCCACGTCCAGGGTCACAGCTCGGCCTGTGGTGGAAGGAGGCCTGCACGGTGCTCTCATGCCTCCTGGACATGTCAGTCCCAAGTAGCTTAGGGAGCAAGGACACAACCTGGCTGCAAAGGAGAGCTGGGGCTTAAAGCAGCAACAGATTCTCCATGACTGCTTCCTTTTCCATGAGGTAGTGCAGGGACATGGGACAAGCTTATGACTAGTATTTCCTGCCTATGATTAAAAATTCTGAGATATAAACAGTACAGTAAGAACAGGAGGGACTCCATTTTAAGGCTAAGATTTCATTTTAAAAACCAGGGTGTTAGGAGGTAAGATTCCTAACATATTTTATGGTAATCAGCCGATAACCTACCCTATCTTAAGGCAGGGCAAGCAGTCCTAAATTATATGTCCCCACTGCTTGAGTGTAATCACTATCTTAGAGAAGACGAGGATCATCAAATTCCTTGTGTTAAGTTTATCTTACAGAATATGTAGAAGACAGATCATGGATGATGACACAATGTCTGTCACTGGAGACAGACACCATGAGACCAGAAGTCATCCTATGCCCCACCACCACGTTTCGTCCCATTCTTGAAAGCCTTAAGAGACAGAACCCCTAAGCCTTTGAGTATGCCTCCTCTGTGAGGCTGCCCATACCCCCTTTCTTCAAGTGTGCATTTTTGCCTTAAATAAAGACTTCTTACTGCTCATCTTATTGCAGCTGTCTCTGGGCTCTTCCAGTGGTAAGCGTCTTTGTTACTTTGCTATTTCATTCAGTTTTCTAGACTTAAGCACAAGTCTTCTCTCTCTCTGGCCTCCTTCAGACAAGTGGGGAAGGGCTACTGAGAGCTCTGATTCGGGCTTGCAAGTTCCCATGACCTGGGTGACCCAGACAGGACTGCAGCTGTATGATCACACTCTTTAGCAGCCTGCCTGAAAATCTCTTTTCTTTGCTTTTGGGAAGTTCTCAGAACATACTCTCACTCCATCCAGTGCTCTGCAGCTCCCCCAAATCCTGGGGTGGTAGGGGCTTAGTTCCCACACCGTGCAGATTCAAGTGGACACTGGACGCCAGGTGACCCTGGCTTTAGGAACTGGTGACGGATTTGTCCTATGCCAAGCAGGAGTTCAATGAGCTTCCCTTTCCTGCCTCTGCTCTTCTTTGCTCTCTGCTGCCTACAAAGCAGCTGCCATTTGCAGTTACTCTTGCTTTAATGAATTCCTACATTCATACAACCTGCTTCAGAATTCTTTCTCATTCAGTCAAAAACCCTCCCCCATCCCCCATTGAGGTTTCACCTATGATTCACCTAGTGTGCAGGGAGAGACCTCCCCAGAAGCAGCTGCCCGACAACACCCAGTAGCTCCAGGAGCCCTGAAAGAATTGCCAGAGTCCTGCAAGCATCCTGGGCATTTGGGCAGATTTCCCTGGTGAGCACTGATATGGACACAGCCATGTTTTTAGTACTGTATCAGGGATGGCTTGTGCTTTTGTAGGCCTTCTAGTCCTGAGCTTCTGCAACGCTTCTGCTCATTGAGCAGGATGTCCACTGAGTCCCAGGACTTTAACTGGATAGACATAGGTCTTTTCTGGACACACAGTGATGTGTGGCCCAGTAGTTGGAACCATTGCAGAATGGAGAGTATGCGCTGCCAAGGCTCACCTTGTCAGGGTCCAGGAGAGCATGGCAGATGATGTCCTCGCAGATGTTGGCTGTCGGGGCCAGGCAGTGCAGCCGGTAGAACAGTTCTACACAGGTGATGTGATGCTCCCGGGTCTCCTTGTTCAGCTGATTCCAAAGCACACAAGCCACTCTCTGGACAGAGAGGAGACAGTGTCAACACAGGCAGTGCCTGCTCGTTTCCACCTTGTGCCAGGCCAGTCCAAACCCCAAGGACCTAGCTTCTACCTACGTTTGCTATGTGAGGCTCTTAATCCACAGAGAAACACCACCACCACACAAAACAAGGCAACCCCAGCTCAAACCAACAACCCACCAGGAGTGCTGGGGGAGCAGGAAGAGAAAGGAGCAGGAAAAAACATTTGAAGGAATAATGGCTGGAAACTTCCCAAGTTTGATGAAAAACATTATCTATATATCCAAGAAGCTCAGTGAATTCCAAGTAAGATAAATGCCAAGAGATCTATATCCAGATATATCGTATTGAAAAGACAAAGAGAAAATCTTGCAATCAGAATGAGAAAATCTTGCAATCAGCAAGAGAAAAATGACTCATCCTTTATAAGGGAACCCCAATAAGATTAACTTCTGATCTTTAATCAGAAACAATGGAGGCCTCAAAACCTTTAACCTTATAAATTGAGGCTCAGTCTTTCTCTACCAATCCTTACATATTTAGTCCAGTTGGCCTAAAACTGAATGCAAATATTTACTGAATACTGGCTGCAGGCCCAGAAACAGGGCCGGGAGCCTAGGGTGGAGGGAAGAGGCTGGCATGGGTCTTCAGGAGCTCCCTCCAGTGCCACCAGGGCTGCCATATTCCATATCACAGCAACTACAACCTGAGGAACAACTTCAAATAAACGGTCTGGGCACAGGGGCCCGGGGTCCCTCCCACGTTCTTCCCAGGGAAATACCTGGTAGAAGTCTGTTTTCTCTGCCATGACCTTCAGTATTCCTGGAGCAATGGGAGGGACTGTCACCATCTGCAGCTTGCCGAAAAATGGGTTGTGTCCTGAGCTTTTATAGCGCTTTGTCTTGTCTTCAATGACAAGCGCTAGAGACTGGGAGTGGTTTATGACTTCCAGCAGGGTGGAGATGGCCACATTCTGGAGGTAGCAGTCAGTCACACAGCAGCCAATGGTCATAAGGGATTTCAGCCAGGATGGAAAACTGGAATTGCTGGCTCCTAAAATGAAGCCAGAGAGGATGGAAACAAACAAGATACACAAGAACCGCTCACAATGTGCAGATTTAAGACACCGTTAGATCTGAGAAGCTGGCGGACAGTAGTACGATAACCTGGTGGTGACATGATATGCAGTCATCATTCAGGACCAGAGGACAGATGAAGCCACGTCTGATTTCATATGCTTGTCAGATTATTCAAATTCTCCATATGTCAACCTTGGGGTTTTGAGATGATTCAAAATGATTTTATTTAAAAAATTTACTTATAGTAAAATCCGCAATTTTTGGTATAGAGTCCAAAATGTTTTTTTTAAAGACTCTCTTGGTGGTAGGGCACACGGCATTAGCTTTAAAAGAGGCCAAAAACTACTGAGGATATCAATTCTAAATGCAGTTCTCCTAAGTACACTGCCATTCGCAGCTAACACACTGAGAAACTGCATGGGAAATCAAAGGTAGTGACTGCAAGAGGGGAAATCTTCACCCTCTGTTCCCACCAACTGAATCACTCTTCTTTCCCACCTCCCCTCTATCCCTTAGCCTTTAAAGTGCTAACTGCCTGCCGTGGACTGAATTGTATTTGCCCAAAATTTGTGTTGAAGCCCCAGCCCCTAATGTGCGGGTAATTGGGGTGAGGCCTTTGAGAGGTGACTCGGGTTAGAAGAGGTCCTGAGTGTGGGGCTTTACAGTGGGACACCAGAGAGATGGCCCCACACTCCCAGGAGGTGAGCACACAGTGAGAAGGTGGCTGTAAGCAAGGGGGGAGCTCTCACTGTACGCTAAGTGTGCTGGCGTCCTGACCTCCGACTTCCAGCCTCCAGAACTGTGAGAAATACATTTCTGTTGTTTAAGCCCCCAGTTGGCAGTACTTCGTGAAGGCAGCCTGAGCTGACTAAGGGCCTGTTAGGTGTTGAACTGTGTCTCCCACAAACTTCTTATGTTGAAGTCCTAACCCCTAGGACTTCAGAATGTGAGCTCATTCGGAAATAGGGCCAGTGTAGATGGACCTGGTTAAAATGAGGTCATGGTAAAGTGAGCCCCTAATCCAACATGACTGGTGCCCCTATAAAAGGGAAATCTGAACACAGGTATGTACACAGGAGAACACCATGTAAAGACTGGAGGTTGACACCACAAACTAAGGAACTACAGCCAGAAGCTAGGAGACTGGAACACATCCTCACCTAGCATCAGAGTGGGCACAGTGGTGCCCAATCCCTGAGTGCAGACTTATGGCCTCCAGAACTGTGAGACAGAGCGTTTCTGTTGTTTGGTTCGCTTAGTTTGTGGGACTTTGTTATGGCAGGTCTAGCAAACTGATACATAAATCTAAACAACAGGTCTCATGAAACGGTCTGATTACCGACAATTATAAAGCACCTTTTTTGTTCTGGACCTTTTAACAGGTTGTGCTGAACACTCAAAGTTTAAAAATACAGACTCTGCCTCACCAATTTGCCAGCTGGTGAGATGCAAGTCAAAAGCAGACACAACTAATGACAACATAAGGAAACAAATGTGGAAAATGGTTCCTTCTTGGCTGGCATGATTTTAGCTCATCTATAAACATCGACTAAGTAGTATCATTCTGCAAGATGGACTTGGTGGGGCCGCACTCTCACCAGGAAGCTGGAAGAGCATTTCGCAGAGCCGCTCTGTCTCTTCCTCAGACAGGTAGACGGGGAAGGTGGCACAGTCCAGCAGCAGGTGGCAGGCGGCTGCAAAGGCCTCCCTGCAGCCTTCCCTTGAGCTCCCCAGGTTGACAGCCACCTGCTCCACAGCCCAGTCTCCCTCTTTCTTTCGGCCAGGGCTACTGGGCAAAGGCGACTCTGAACTTTTTGTCTTAAATGGAGACCCTCGAATGGTGAACAAGTCTGAGAGCATCTGCTTAAACTGGGGCACACTGATGGGCTTGGCTTCCCACAAGTTCTTCCCGCCAGAGTCGCCATCCTCCATGTCCTGCGTCCTGCCCCCGTGCCCCTGGCCTGCAGGCTCTTCCGTCTTGTTTTCTTCTCTGGACGCCATCAGTGGTACTCTGAAAATGTTCTTGTGGGCAAAGTTGGCAACTAGCTCTTGGATGTGAAGAAATGTCCTCTGCATACTCCCGCCCTTCTTCCAAACGTCGTCTTTTTCAGGAGAGACTCTGGGGACCCGCAAGTGCTCGGAGAGCTCCGGTGACGAGGCACTGAGCCCGATCCCACTGTCTTCCGATTGGAGCGGAGGAAATAAAGTGTCTTCAGCACCTGGAATCACTGCCTTTGTGTCTAAAACGATTTCACTGTTTTCACCTTTCACTGGACTCTGCAAGAAATGGAAATTTGTATTGTGCATTTTGTAGGACCATAGGCTTCCTGTTTTTCAAAATCATAATTCTCTACACCACGAGAATCCCTGTGTAAGAGTGCCTAGTAAAAAGAGTGCCTACCCATCTTCAATGGGTAGGAGTTTGTGGGCCCAAATCGGAGGCTGTCATCCCACCATCCTCTTTGGGTGGGCTGTCTTTGAGCCCATTTTTTGTCTTAAATGGAGATTTAAGGATTCCAGAAAGTTATTTTTAAAAGTTTGACAGATTAAAAAAATATAAATGAGGAAACTGGCGTGAAGGTAACATAAAGGCATGAAGAAATAAGAGAAAACCAGAAGTGTTTACCCGTGTGTGTGTATATATGTATATTACACATACATATGTAAGTGTACGTCTGTATATTCTGTTGCCTTCCAAAGGGATAACACTTCAACCTTTCGTGAATCAGTCTCTTCTTATAGTGCTTCTTATATAATATTAAATTTAAAACTCTTCAGCACTTAAACCACTGTGCCCTCAAGGGAAGATGAGATAGTACAGTGCACTTTTTGAAACATACTGCTGCTTGTATTTGTAGACTACATATGGATAAACTTCATACCTTAAATTGTTTGGGGGGGACCTTGTTTTTCTCACTAGCTCTAACAGAAAGAAAAAGGACTAACATTGGAATTGACATTGACAACCTGTAATTCCCCTGCAGGTTGAGATTTAAGTTCAGCACTAAGTACACAGCTCTCAGGAATGCTTTGCTCTTCAGTCTGTGCCACTGCACTGAATGGATTTCAAGGGCAGAACTCTCAAACCCCCAGAGCAGAAAATAAAAATAATTCAAAGACCATGGCCTCAGACTGCTTGTGGAAGTATATCTGTTACAGTCTCCTTGGAGGGTGATTTGGCAGCATCTCTCTCAATTTAAAAGGGGGCATGCACTTCTAGTTTAAAAATAAATGGGTTGATTGCACCCACTTCTAGGTAATGATCCTTCTGAAACACTTGCCACTGTGAGTAAGCTGTGCAGGGATTCTGACTGCAGTACTGTCGGTAACAGTGAAAAAGTGGAAATAACCTCAATAGGAGAATAGGTGAAGGAACTGTAAAAGCCATACCTCAGACTATCACGCAGAAGTTGAATGATACCTCTGTGTATACTATAGGAACATGGAGAGCTGTCCCCAAAGCAAATCAGAGAATAGTGTATGTTATGGCTTGAACTGTTCCCCATCCCCTCACTGCCTCAAAAGATGAAGTCCTAACCTCCAGGACCTCTGAGTGTGACCTTATGTGGACACTGGCCCTTTGAAGATGCTCAAGTTAAGATAAGCTCAGTAGAGATCGTGGTGATGAGTCTATGTGCCAGGAACACCAAAGAACACCAGGAGCTAGGAGCAGATTCTCCCGACTGCACTTTGACCTGCACATTTCTCAGGAGGAACCAACCCTGCCTGCACTTTGACCTTGGACTTCTGGTTTCCAGAGCTTAGAGACAATAACTTCCTGTTATTTGAGTTACTCAGTCTGTGGCACTCTGTTACTGCAGCCCATGTAAACTAATATCTCGCTGATAATTTTTTAAAAATTACACATACATAAACATACACATAAAAAGGTCTGGACAGTGAGCTCTATAACCACTGGCTGTAGTTAAGGGCTGTGGCAGGGAGGGGTCAGGAGTGAGGATTCCACACTAAACACTTATTAAGGGCTGGGGGACTTTAGAAGCATGTTTTAGAGATTACCTTTATGTCTTCTAGTTTTTAATTCCTGGCCTAACCAACCCTAATGACTTTCTGCTCCCGGCAAGGCATGTGCTTCTTTTAGCCCTGAGAACCACTGAGCTCCTCCCAGCACGTACCCAGCTTCCACTTGCGGGCTCCATGTCCAGGTAGGAAGGCGGCATCTGCACCTTGCTGAGCACTTTGAAACATGTCTTCAAGGCATGCGTGAGTTCAGGTAAGCTTAAAGCCTCCATTTCCTCAGCCAGCGGCTGCACCAGGCAGGCAAGCGCCTGCGGGAGGTACTGGGTTTGCACCTCAGAGTAAAGTTCCTGTGAAATAAAGACACTAGTTTAACTTAAGTTTTCAATTTATAATTGGAAAAAAAGTGCACCGCAAGTGGCATCTTAGAAAATTCAACGTTTTCAGAGAGTAAGTTCCACATTAATCAGAAAACAAAGTAATATTTCTTTTCAATCTAGACAAATCAATGGACATTCTTACTCTCCTTTCAAGTGCTTTTATCCTTAATAGAATATCATTACATTATTACTATATTAAGGAAATTAGACTTAAGAAAATCAGCTAACTGCACAAGTTTAACTAGGAAATACATTTACTTTCACCCCTAAATAACGGTAGTACAGGAGTGGCACCCAGTTTATCATCTTGTTTACATACCTTCCACTGAGCCTACTTACCACTGGCTCAAAGTCTTAACCTCTTTTAAGTAAGACCTCAGAATTTACATCCAGCTACATCTTCCATACCAAAACGCACATTGTACTGGTGGTGTACATTTATGTGAAACTAATTTTCAGTTAGATTGAGGTTTATAAAGTAGACTGACAACACTAATGAGAACATAAATAAGGTGAGAACGGAGTCACATCGTCCCAGCAAAGGACCTTACCAGGGGAATGACATCCAGAAGGAAAACAAGGAGGGTGCAGAGCTCCGAGACCGTTGGGGGAGGGCCGATGCTCTTCCTGACAGTGTAACTCTGCTCGGCTGGCCTACATAGTCCGAGGAAGGAAAAGAACATCAAATCAATTCTTTCTCTTATAATAATTTTAATCTTTCCTGTGATTTCAAGTAAAGTAGCTTATTCTATATCAAACATAATGGGAGATGGCTTCTGTAGTTCTAATAATTAAGCTTTGGTGACTAAAATTACCCAACAAAGAGAAGTGTCAGTAAGTGTCTTGAATCTACTTGTTTCCAACATGGATTCACTCTGACTTGAACGTCATCAGTTCAGATGAGGGCGGTTGCATGCCCACGTGGGATTTATACACAGCAGATCTGGAGAGCTGTAACAGCAGCAATTCCAGGCCCTCAAGCCCAAACCAAAGGCATGTTCCCAGGGAAGGAGCCCTGCTAGAGAGGACACAGGCCAAACAGCTGTTCAGCTTGCTTTAGGGGCCACCCGAGTCAGCTCCTCCCATCTAACACCATGAGCTTATCACACAAGCTGCTTAGAGAAATGCACTTCCACTGCTCAACTCTACTGGTACCTACTTATCTCACACTGAAACTTAACACTGACTTTTAAATAAGTAGGACACTAGTTAAACAGCTAAGTTAAAAAGCATACAGTTGACCCTTGAACTACATGGGTTTGAACTGTGTGGATCCACTTATAAGTGGATTTTGTGAATAAACATGTTAGAAAATTTTTGGAGATTTACAACTGTTTGAAAAAACTTGTAGACAAAGTACACAGCCTGGAAATATCAAAAAAATGAAGAAAAAGTTAGGTATGTCATGAATGCATAAAGTATATATATGTATTTGTTTATTTTGTCATTTACTACCATAAAATATATGTAAATCTATTACAAAAGTTAAAATTTATCAAAACCTACAATCACACTTACAGACTGTACATGGTACCATTTGCAGTTAAGAGAAATGTGAGCAAGTTGTTGTAAACCTCCAAAATATTTTCCAGTACATTTACTAAAAAAAACTTGTAAGTGTACCCACAGTTCAAAGCCATGTTGCTCAAGGGTCAACAGTAGGCTACAGGTAAAATTCTGGGAGAGTCAAAAGTTGTATCTGGATATTCAACTACACAGGGGTCAGCACTCCTAACTGCCCATGCTGTTCACGGGTCAGCTGTGTATTAGTTCTCAAAACAGAGTAACTTTGGACCCATTTAGCTATCATACTACAACTCAACCTGAGTTAATTTTCTTCATTGTAAATGATTATTTAATTGGAGTTTATGTTAGCAAGAGAATGACTCTGAAGAACCGCGTACGCTACATCCCAGTGATTCTACAGCTTAGGTGTCTACTCTAAAGAAACCTGGGCATTGTGTATAAATAGGACAAAGATGGTCACCACAGTACTATTCACAAAAATGGAAAAATCAAAACTGGTTCATTCAGGCAATGGACTATTACACTAAAGGTGAATGAGCTAGACGTGTTACAATATGGACAAATCTCCAGAGGCTCTTAACATCCCCACAAAACAGCACATTGCAGAAAGTTATATACAAGTGGGCACTACTTATACAACATTTGGACAAAACAGACTATTTCATTTCTGGACACTGTTGTCTGTGCTTACTATAAAAGCACAGACAACATCATGAGCAAAGGCAGACACTAATTTCATGGATTAATACTAGAATGAAGAGAGAAGAAGTGCTGGGAAGGGAGAAAAAAGTGGGGGGAAGGTGGAGGTTAGCTCTGTGTAGCAATATTTTATTCCTTTAAAAAAAGGGATCTGAGAAGCAATAGCCAGTGTTGCCTATAATTTCAGCAATGGGTGCACATGTCTGATGTTATTTTCTGTTTTCTTACAGGTGAAACATTTCTTAGTCAGTTTTTTAAAAGAAAGCATGTCTGGTAACTCTGAAATGGAATTAAACTGACCAAAATAAATTCTAGCCTCAGTAGAGGAAGGCCTTGCTGTTGCTCATGGACCCAACTGCAATTTGTTTATTCGTCACAGGTTTGTTTGCCTACGGAGGAGGCACTGGAGGAGGCAGAATGGCATAGTGGGAGCAGTTGGGAAGTCTGGCCTTCCTGGGTTCTAATCTTGGTGGCTGTTAACTTGTTGTGCAATGCCACACAAGGTACGTCATGTCACTGGGCTCTGGATCTCTTATGTGATGGAAATGCCCACTTCTCTTTGGGATCCTCAGGGGCATCCTGAAGAGTTAACGAGAATGCTTAGAAGGCTTTCAGGACAGAGAACCACCCAGAGCAAACCTAACTAAGGCTTCTATTCAGCTGTGAAGTCCGGGAAGGACAGTGTGACAACAGGGTGCTTTCCAATGGAGGGTGATGACAATGAGGTTTTACAGTGTGGACTCCAGGACAAAACAGAGAGATTGGATTCTTCTTCCTTTATGGGCAAAATGACCTGGAATGACTCTGCAGGCAAGCAGGCCATTCCCCAGTGTGTGCTTGAGGTGGAGAGGGTGCAATTCACCAGATTAAAAGGGACAGGAAGCTCATTATAGTATTTTACAACATTAGTGAAATAGTGTATAACCAGTCAGATCAGAGTGCTAAGAATTTAAGAAGACTGATGATTTCAAAAACACTCTATCCAATCTTAGAGTCACAAAACTAAGCTTCTTCAAACAGATCAGGCCTTCAGGAAAACTAGAAAATAAGCAGATTTGATCAATGTAACTAGAAAATGCACAGAGGATTTTCTCAAGTTAGAATTAACAAGTAAAGAGCTTCAGAATTATGTGGCCAAGATTACTGAGCCTTCTTAATGCCGGTATTTTTTTATTCTACTTCAATTTTTAGTGAATTCTTTCCAATTGTGTACTCATCACAGACCACCCACTTTATTTTAGCCACTGATGTATAATTGACCACAATGAGCAGATATGAAACCATGAAACCCTCTAATCCTTCCTAAATAGTCCATAATCCTGAACTGGATACCTACCTAAAGCAATCCTCAAAACACCTCGTCATGTAATCCCAGAGGAAGTCTGTGCTTAGGGAAGTGATCAGCAAGTTCACCGTTTTAACGATCTCAGAGGCGTTTCTGTTTTCTTTGATTGTACTGTAAAGGAAGGTGGATACTTACAAACATATCTATGAAAAACCCTGTATTATGAGAATACCATGTCTGAAAAATTGTCATTCATTTTACTATTTACATCTTACTTCTAGGGACTGACAAACTCCAATAAAGATAAAAAGTGTTACTGTTCTTATATAGGAAACAATTTGCATAATGCCATCCTAAACAGTATTTATACTGATACGCTCTCTTAGAAATATGCATAAGGGCTATTGCAAAAAGAATCTGATACAGAAGAACAGTTTAAGTGCAACTGTAAATCATTACATACTCTCCTGGTGAAACAGCATGGCACAGCCATTCAGGAGGGAAATTTGGAGGCTAATCTTTTAGTGTGTATCTTCTAAGACGCAGGAAGTTTATTCTAGGTATTTTTCCTACAGATACTCTTGTATAGGCCCACCAAGACATGCACATAAGAATACGATTTAAAAATCATTTAAAAATACTGAAAAAGTGGAAAACACCTAAAAGCCTATCATCAGTAAGGGATTGGTCAGTCAGAATTTAGTAAGTGCAAATCCTTACCCATGAATCTAAGGCAACCATTATATTCCACAGAAGAGAGCAGAGCTACCCACAACTTGCGTTTTCAAAAACATGCAACTAAAACAGTATAATTCCATCTTTAAAATAAAAGATAGTAATCTATATATTTATGTATGCACTGAAAGTCTGGAAAGAAATGAAAATGTTTTTCTCTGAAGGGCGGTGTGATTATAGGTGATGTGTTGTTTCTTGATACCTTCAAATATCTGTATATTCTACAGTGAGCATGTCATACTTTCATATTCAGAAAGAGTAATTCTGGGGGAAAAAAGCAAACACTAGGAACTCTTGGTACACCTACATAAATGAAGAAACCAGAAAAATCTTCAAAATGATTTAAATTTTCAACATACCCAATGCCATTCAGGCATAAAGAAATTACATCAAGAATAAAGTAAAAAGGAAGAGGTTGTATTATCTTAAAAAGAACAGAAACAAAACACAGGGCTGACAGAGGACCACCCACTCTAAGGCAATGAGTCTGCTGTCTGCCAAGCCCTGCTCACTCTGCCAGCGGGGTCCTGCAGCATGTGCCCTGGGGGTGCCCTTACCTTGCTCTCCCCTCCTCCACTACCTAGTCCTGAGAACTCCCATCCCTGGCTTCACCTTCCTGGCCTTACCCCCTCTCTTCCTGTAACCCACTACTCGGGAGTGCCATGCACACTGTGTTGAACAACCTTCGTATCTGATTGATAAATAGGGTTTGTACATCTCAGGCTGGTGCAGACTACAGAAAACTCCTTTTAAGCCCTTTACAACTTTGCAGTTATTCCATAGGGAACAGTCCATTCATGTTGACTGACTCGAGTGTAGGTTACCTTAAAGTGCCGTTTGATCTGCTGCATCTCCACTTTCTCTAGCACTTCACAGTTTACAAGAAACAACAGAAGAAAAAAGTCATGGCATTAGGGAGGGAGGAACAAGTGTGAAGCTGGTGGTCAAACCCATACCTTATCAGCGAATTTCCACTCTGAGTGTAGCTAAGTTTAAGATCAGAGCCCAGAGCATGTCTGCAGTAAGAATAAAATGCCCGGATGACTTCCAGAAACAAATTCCCAACCACTTGAGGCCCTGAAATTGAAAAGAAAATGACCAGGAAGAGATCAGCAATCCATTTTTAAATCAATGACATATATACTAATCAGTTAGGAAGTAACCCTGAATACACAGAAAATGTATAGTCTAAAATGTACAGAAACTTAACATTGGTTGTGACAATGACAACTCTAGCTGGGGGAATAATATCCATGCAAACAGCCACCATTTCTGTGAAGCTTACTGTGTGCTGAATGCTGTTCTAAGCATTTTCCATCTATGAATTTATTTAATCCTCACAGCAGCCATATGACCAGGTAAGTACCCTGTTGTCCTGATTACAGATAAGGGGAAAGAGGAAGAGATCAAGTGACCTGCCCAAGCCAGACTCTGCTGGGTGGAGCCGGGGCCTAGGCTGTCTTTTAACTGTGCATAAGCTGGCTTGCCCAGACACATAATTCAGTATAAATATGTAGAACAGGGCAACTTTCCTACTCTGAATTCTTTTAATCGTGAGCTAGGACACCACAAAAGAAATGACACCACTCCTGAAAAGCTTATTAAAATGGCACAGAGCAAGTATCAAATGGTTTCACTCATCTGTGGAGTATAAGAACAAAGCAAAAACTGAAGGAACAAAACATCAGCAGACTCACAGAACCCAAGAATGGACTAACAGTTACCAAAGGGAAAGGGACTGGGGAGGATGGGTGGGAAGGGAGGGATAACAGGAAAAGGGGGCATTATGATTAGCACACATAATGTAGCGGGGGTGGCATGGGGAAGGCAGTACAGCACAGAGAAGACAGGTAGTGATTCTGTAGCATCTTACTACGCTGATGGACAGTGACTGTAATGGGGTATATGGTGGGGACTTGATAATGGGGGGGATCTAGTAACCACATTGTTGTTCATGTAAGTGTATATTAATGATACTAAAAATAAAAAAAAAATAAAAATAAAAAATAAAATGGCACAGAGCACCAGCTGCATGTCGGAGAAGCATCACTGCCAATTAGGCAGGTGGACAGCGTCTGGACAGTTCTGCTCCACAAACAGCGACCATCAGGTGCCAAGGGAGCGACTGCACACCCACGCACTTGGAGGGATGAAAACAGAATCAATTCAGACCAACCGAACGCTCTGTCAACGTATCTGTATGCAAAGCAATCAGCAGGTTAATCCAGTTTTTTATGCTTCCTTTCACAAAAACAAAAGACAGGCCTCTGAGAAAACATTTTTGCAATGAGCCCCACGTATCGTATTTTACTTTTCTACAGCATAAGAATGATGAATGCTTTTTAAAATGAACGCAGGTTTACTGTTCTGATTCAAGGAGGAGAAAATGAGGCAGTGGCCGAAGCCTGGCAGAGAGAGGGGACAGCCCAGACTGAATGAGCACCCTGCGCCTTCCAGTGTAATATAACCCACTCCTTTGCCTCTCAAGTATGGCTTCCCTTGGGCAACTACATTTTTAGACAGAACAAATTAGACCCCTGTGACGGGGCAGGGGAGAAGCCTGCCATTTGTGCCCTCCCAGAAAATATGACCTGGACCCGAGCTACCAGCGCTGCGCCTGGCCCACCAAGGTGCGCGGCCCTGGCACAAAAGCCCGTCTCCAAACGGCCAAGTACACTGTCTTCTCTGAATACTTCAAGTTATGTGCAAGCTCCCAAAATGTTTATGTAACTCATTTCACTTTTGAGACTAAATCATGACTCCGAGAGCTGTGGTCACCGCACCCCGAGGAAGCCCGCTGGAGTGATGGCTGGCTGACTGAGACATGGGAGGGACGGGGCAGGGGGACAGTCTGCACAGCGCACAAGTACCGCCAGGCAGCACCGAGGCACATGGCGTGGAGGGGCCGGCGCTTCATGCTTTGACTTTGGCGACAGAAGCTAGAGTCGGACGCATCATGGAATACAAGCCCATCTGTGTTACGTGAGCACACATCTCAGGCACAGCATGTCTGAGGGTCCTCAGGGAAGCGGCAGTGTCCTGTCAAAGACAGCCTGGGCTCTGGGGTCAACCAGAGTTTTAATCCTGGCTCCTGGATGGCCTCTGGCAAATGACTTACCCTTGCCCAGCCTTCGTCTCCCCATCTGTAAAATGGCAATGGTAAGAAAACCTACCTGAGGAAGTATGGGTGGAGACGTAAATTAAATGACATATACAAAACACCGTGTATGAAGTAAATCCTCAAAAACACTTTTATTATTATTAATGACAGTGAAAACATACCAGGACCTCAGAGTCTCCCTTTCATCTAATGTGACCAGAAGCCATTTTTCCCTCTGTAGCCCCAGAGCCCAGCACCATCCCTGCCGTGCTCCACGCCTGTCCCTGAATGAATACGAGAAGGGTCTCATCCTGAGCCAGAGGGAAAAGGAACCTCATTACCTCCCTCGGCTCTTGTTTTCTGCAAAGAACAACGAGGGGGTGGGCACATCCTACGAGCTTAGATGATGCCATCCAGCTTGAAAGCCCATGGAGAACATGGGGATTTTCTTCCCTGTCATGGTACTCAAGTGACTGGATGTTAAGATCTTATAGTGAATGGATATTGGAGCAATTTCTTTTTTTAAAGTGAGAGAGAGAAGGTAGTTTTCTCAGCTGATGCTCTCAGGACCACAGTGTATAAGAGGGGACATTTTGGGAACCAGAGTCTAGCTCAACCCCTCTCAATAGACAGAGGACAAGACAGAGGCTCAAAGAGCAGAAGCGGCTTGCCGAAGGTCACAAGGCAAGAAGATGGATGGGGGCCCCTATTTCCCTGATAAGAAAATCAGACCTCATTTGAAGTATGACATTTGGTCGGAGAAATGTTCTTACCAAGTCAGTACTGTGTGTGTGCAGCACAGGCACACACACAGGTGTGCACAAGAGGAGCTCAAACTATGTTCCTAACAACAATGTTCAAATTACCACACCAGACTTTTACATGGTGCCAGATATGGTAACCGAACCGTGTAACATAACTGAAGTACTTAAAGACTCTGAACTTCCAGCGATTAAACTATGTTCAAAATAACACGTGACTGCATCTCGCTATGCAGTAATTCCCTCTAAAGAGGTAACCCGTAGTTGGCGTCTGGTGATAACAGCACCCCTGATGTTACCTATTTCTGGCTTGTCGAGCAGACTCACGAGGATGCGGAAAGGCTTCAGGTATGCGTGGTGGTGCTCCTCTACGTCGGCATCTGCAAACTTCTGGTGCAATATCTCAGTCAGACTCTGTTTTTTGAAAAAGCCACATATTAGGATACTGTGTGCAGTAGGGTATAACATTAGTGGTTGTTCTGATTATTTAAAACTCTGGGATGGAAAGAAAATGAGTCCCATAGCACAAAATGAGTTCACAGTCTTCCCAACCACCTGCCTAGGAACATGCCCAATGTCTACTTTGAGGTCCTACAGAGAAATTCACAGAAGAACAGAGAAATCGGGACCACCCTGATTGGGGTCCACTTTGCAGAAATGCTCCTTTACCTCAACTAAAAGATCCTTGGAATATTTTTCAAAAAAATACAAGCACTGGTCTTCATAAGAACTTGAGATTTCAGATTCCAGCACAATGGCATTTCCTTTAATATCTGAACCTACAAAAGAACAAGCACCATGAGCTGCACAGAGATCTATAATTTCAAAGGTCACCACATGGAGCAAAGGTCTCATGTTCTCCTATTTTTAAAAACAGAATTTCTCCAACAGAAAACCAAAATCAGATCTGGAAAGACCAAGTCACATGTCCTTCTGATGTGCTAAGGATCAGATAGGCAGGATTCCACCTCAACGGGCATCAGTTTAGTGCCCCTAGAATTCACTCTGTCTTTGACAAGTATTATTACAAAGTCCTGAATAAGGATAATTTTAAAAATCAGTGTTTCTTTGTATGGTACTATGTGAAATCGAGGTGTTCTCATTTTGAGCGTTGGGTAAGTCTGTGAGGTCCTCGGGGCAAGAACAGCATCCTCAGGGTCTGAGAGAGCCTGGGCTCCAGGGCCGCAGCTACGAGTCAGAGCCGGCAGTGGACCTGGGTCCCAGGCCTTCTCCACATGCAGGGTGTCAAGTCCCACAGTGGGAAGCTATGCACTGAACAAAATCATCCTGTTGATAAAGATGCTTATAGAGCCTGTGAATATTCTTCTTGAAATTGTTCACAGGTTTCCATGAATGACTTCTCAAAGTTTTGTAACTAGTGGGGAGAGAAGAAAGGGTAAAGAGGACTTTCTGTTTCTGGTGTGAGAAGATCTTTGTGTTGAGGGTTAAAAAAAGCTGGGAAGCAGAGGATCTTTAGGGCAGTGAAAATCCTCCATATGATACTGTGATGGTGGACACATGTCACTGTGCTTCTGTCCAAACCCACAGAATGTGCAAAACGCCCAGAGGGAATCCTGATGAAAACTAAGGACCGTGGGGACAGCGATGCTGATGAACTTCCCTGAGTGTCACAAATGCACCACTCTGCTGGGGTGCTGGTTTGGAGAGACAGGGTGGATGGAAACTCTCTGTGCCTGCCTCTGAATTTTGCTGTGAACCTAAGACTGCTCTAAAAACCTAAAATATTACATATATTAAAAGAAAAGGCTGTGGAACACTTCCATGACTGCTTTTACACCACCTTTCTTAGTACACGAGCATGGGAATTAACAAAACTCAGAAAGCACTACCCTTTTAGTCTTGTGATTTCCTGGGCTCTGATCCTGTGATCCTTCCAGCTAACAGCCTAGAGCTCCTTCCCTCCAAGTTTACAGGCTGCCCACAGAATCAAGCCCGGGGTTCTCATGCTCTCCCAAAGTTATCCAAATAGCTCCCAAAACACGTCAATGCCAGAAACATTCCCATCCTTAGAAAACCTTCTAAACCTTCTTTCATACTTAACCCACAAGATTTGTGGGTTTTCTCTCCACCCTCATCCCATGAATGTCTCCAGGGCAATAGGCTTCTACTTGAACAAGGTTTACCTACAGGTCTTTGTTGTATTGCAAACTCCTTAAAATGGAATTCAGTTAGCATTCTTAAAAATCTCATTTATTATTTCTCCTTTTTGACATGTAATGACTGCAAAATAACCAAGCCTGCAGTGCAGGCGGTAGAACCCCACCAAGCAGTGATCTGCTCAGCCAGCACGTTATCCTTCCATACTTGACAATTTGGAAGTGCATCACCGAGTGGAAACATTCCAAAACTCAGCCCTAAAAGGTTTCATAAGAACTTTGCCTTTCAATTATCATGTACTACTCACTGTATACCTAGTAACCACGCATAAAGTCTTCTGTTTAGAGACATATCTCTTCTCAGTAGGGTCTGGGTGGCAGCTGAGAGAATGTGCACGATGTCAGACCTGAGCAGGGGAATGGCTCTCTCATTGGAATCCTATTGGAAGGACAGAGAAAACTTTACTGCAAGGGGATAAAATAGACGACTGGCTTTCTGACATGCAGCCTTTACCAGTCTATAAAGCTTTATGTTAAAAAGGCAGTTCTCAAAAAGGTTGGTTCCTTATGCTGCCCATAGACAGAAGCTATTCAGTTTTTGCTTTGGAAACAGCAGCCTTGCAAAATGAACAAGGACCTTTAACCAGCTGAAAGCAAATGGTGATCACAACGTGGCTGTTCTTGTCTCAAAAAAAAAAAACTGCCTGGGATCTATCCCGCCTACCCCACATTCTTGGGAAATAGCAGTGACTTTCCTAGAAGAACACGAATGTCTTACCAGACAGGTATAAAATGGGAAGAAGAACAGAACAATCTCCAGATTATTTCTTTGCACCAGAACATTTGAATCCAACAGTGATGTGCATAAAGACTTGACCTGTGAGAGAAGGTAAATAGTGAATCTGTGGCATCTTACTGCACTGATGGACAGTGACTGCATTGGGGTGTGGGTGGGGACTTGATAACATGGGTAAATGTAGTAACCACATTGTTTTTTCATGTGAAACCTTCATAAGAGTGTATATCATTAATACCTTAATAAAAAATTAAAAAATAAATAAAAGGATTGTAAAAAAAATAAAAAGACTTGACCTGTAAATGATAGAATGGCACGAACATTTTATTCCCAAGACATTAAACATTATTTATAGGCCACTCTTTACAGTCACAAAAATAAAAGTAACTTTTCCTGGCCTTGAAACCACAGTGTGAATCATGTGGAATAGATCAATACGGAAAATGTGGGGAATTGGGGTTCTTGTGCTGACGCTGGGGGCAGAGTGTACTGGGGAGTCTGCGGCCACCAGCTGATACGTGAGTGGAACCCCAGCAATCGGAGGCTCCTCATCTCTCCCCTGTCCTTGGAATGCGGCTTCTGCCTGCCCTCCTCGTTCCTAGAAGCTGCTGCAAGGACAGGGCCTTGAGACAGTGACGTGGTGTTGAAGCCATGTGGATGGTCTATGTGACTGAGCCCAGCTGCAGCCTTCTATAAACCTTTAAGATCTGGAGGGCGGGTGCGGGGGTCTCCTTGTCATGCAGCCACCAAGACAAGCCTTGTATATAAGTTCCCTTGCTTATTAAACCTTCCACCTACCAATCTGGAGTATTTCTGCCTTTCTTCCATCTCTCCCTGCCCTCTGCTTATAGGGGCCAGTTTCAGATTAAATCTGGAGGCTACAGAAAAGTTTTTGCACTAACAGTGTGACATCAGGGAAGACGGTCAGCGGCACCCCTCACTTGTTTCTTCTTTGGAGGGGTTTCAGGCCAGTGGGTCAGGTCCTAAGACCTCAAATTCCATGGTCCTAGAAAGGAATGTTTTTAGGATCTCATAGGAACTTTGGCCTAACCTAAAACTCCAAAGACATTCAGTCGAATGGATCCCAAACCAATTCAATAAATGTTTCAAGTGTCTTTTCTGAGTAGAGATAGATATAATACAGATGCATGCCAGATGGTTAAGAGCCTAAGGCAAAAGCTAATAAACACCTGTGAGAAGTCAGAAGAGGGAGAGGGAGAGGTCTTTCACCTGGGAAAACAATGAGCTTTGCGGGAGAGGTGAGCTTGAAGGACAGGAAAGACCTAGATTGAGACGCATGCAGAAGACGGGCTGGCAATAACTGCGAGCGGCGGGACAGGCTGGAGCAGGACACAGCATCAGGGACGTATAAGGCCAGGCTGGGCAGTCAGTTCTGGGAGTGCAGGGGGCCTGAGGGGGGCAGTAAGGTATGGGTGAGTTGGAAGCAGACTAGCGTACTCTTGAGATTGGACTTTATGTGTAGGCAACAGGAAGCCAGATGTTTTTCAAACACAGCATAGATAAGAGCAAAGTTATACTTTAGCAAAGCAAATCTCTTAGCAATGAAGAAGGACTGGATCAGTAGAAGATGGGATAGGGAAAAGCCAGTTAGAAAATGATGTATGACCCAGGAGCAAGGCGTAAGAAACAGAAGCAGGGTGGTGAAAATGGAGAAGGGACAAAAAGTGGTCCTGATGGGGCAGGAAAGGAGGCAGCTACCAGGCTCATGCCACGTCAGGTGCTTATTGTCATGCTTTCCACTCAATCCTCAGAGGGCCCCGCAAGGAAGATGTGCTGTCCCCACTTTGCAAAGAGAAACGGACTCAGGCGACGGGGTAAGCAAGTCACACCAACTTGCCGACTTTAACTTAGGAATGTCTTAGGAATTCAGTTTTGAGCATTTATGTTTGAACTGCACCATGAGGGGGCGACACACTGCAGGCCACTGAACACACAGGAGGCAAGTTTGGTAACAAGTCACAGAGATCTGCGAAGTTCGCCCTGAGGAGGGATGTTGTGGTTGAGAAGGAGAGCTGCCCTTGGAAGGATCTGGGAAGGGACGCCTGAGGAACCCGGGTGTCTTGCTTTGAGCAGCAAGAGGAGAGGATGCCGGCAGGGACAGGGCCCAGAAGGTAGCTGAAGGAGGGAGCCTCATGTTGGGGGGGAGGGTAGCCAGCGTGACACAGGGCTGGGAGCTCCCCGTGCCTCCAGCAGGGCCTTTGCAGGTGTGAACGCACCTCTGTGGCCTGTGTTACAAGAACAAACCCACCACCTGGGTTTGGCGGGGCACAAGGTTGCCTCTCCTCCATCTGCTCAGCCCCAGAGTCCCGTGCAGCTCCAGGGCCGGCCACATCTGGGGAGCCGCCTGGGCCCTGCAGGCCCCTTTGCCCTGCGAGCAGCAAGCACCTACCGTGAGCTGGTAATCAGTGCCCAGCATGTACTTCTGCTCCCTGCCGGGCGAGTCCCTGCTGATGTGGCCCACCACGAAGAGTGAGGCGGGTAGGCGGATGGACGGGCTCACCAGGACACTCCCCCAGAGGGCAGCATAAAACACCTCTTTGCCGACCACCAGGGACAGCCTCAGGAGTAGGGCATCAGTTCTGTGGACAAGAGGTGACAGATTAAGGCTCGTTCCCCAGGGTCCCACTGCACTTCCATGGGGCCGGGAACAGCACTGCCTTCCTCGGCCACCCTGCTCCACGCTGTGAGCTGCTGCCAGCTCTGGCCCTTGTGTGTTTAATCACCTGCTTGCCGTTGCCGAAACTGAATTTGTTAAAACAAACATGTCCCTGAGAGTGCAGCTTCTTGGCCAACAGCTATGCAGACTTTAGAATCACTGGGGAAGAAATGTGCGGGGCCTCCCACTCCACTGCGCATCTGTGCGGCCCGCAGCAGGGTTTTCGTCACTGCCCCCGGCACCCGCACAGTGGCCACCGCCCTGCAGGCCCTCCTGCTGGCGCCTGCTGCTTGGCCGTCCTTCTCGCTCTCAGGGTATCCCCATGACGCGTCAGCAACTTCACCTGCATCGCTAAGCTCGTTTTTCCACTGATACCGACCACGGCCAGGCCTCGACTCCTCAGGAGTGCACCTACAGCTGAGCGGGGCCGCCGCCCTGCCCACGGCGAGGACAAAGCTTGCCAGGCCTGTCACAGCATCTGGCAGTAAACAGCAAAGGCCAGTTCCCCCAAAGATGTTTCACTTACTGACTGATCTGACTCAAAAGAGGAAAGGTTTTTCCACCTCTCATGAGTTTCCTATATGCAAAGAAGACAGGAAGAAACCACAGAAGCAGCAGGCCAGTGAAGCGCGGTGGTCGACCCAGGCTTTTGGAGTCAGGCCTCTGTTGTCCCAATCATGTGTCTGTTTCCTGGCAGTTGGCCCTTGGACCAGTTTAACCTGTGCACACTAGCTTTCAGGTCTGAGATAAAGGGTAAAGGAGATGAAGAGGTGAGAACCTCAGAGAACAGAGGGAGTGCACAGGCCACGGCACCTACCGTCACACTACCAGGTCTGCCGTCTGCTGACGGTCCCGGTGTCCAGATGAGCATCTGACACCTGGGAGAGCTGCCAGATGAATGCCGCTCTTTCCCTTTACTGTAACCCAAATCGTCTCCAGCTTACTTTTCAATAATCAGCTCAGTGTATATAGACATGTCACACAAGAAGTATCTACCACCTTAATACATTAAAAATGAACCTTTTCTCCATAAAACTAGTCTGAATATTTTTGTCTCAGAAAATATTTGAAGTAAATGATGCACAGTGTCATCTTTTCAGAAAAAACAAAAATGAAGGGGCCCAAGTAACAGCCAAATGTTTAGGAAAAGTACACAGAATGGTTCAGTGGCTGTAGAAATTGACTGGTTCTCTAGCAAGGCTGAGCAAACAGACCTTATCGTTGCCTGGCTCTGACAGCAAGGCAGCAAAGGCCCTACTTTTGGGCTGAAGCACCACTCAGCAGCCACAGCTACAGTCAGTCAGGCAGATGGGTCGCCTGCATCACCTGCCCCCAGGGCAGACAGGATGGTCCTGGGCTGGGAAGAGATTCCTACAGCACAGGTTAATTTAGGAAGCCCCTGAGTGCTTCTCTCTCTCTGGGATCCCACTCCCAAGAAGACGAACACTTAGATAAAACTCAGTGAAAACACTGATCTCATACCCCACTTTGCTTAGAACAGCATATTCCCGAAGTATGTTCCACAGAACACTGGCCACTTGGGCTGTTCCACAGAGAGGTTCCACGGCTAAAAAAACCCCTGGGAAATGCCATGCGAGCTATCACTTCTTCAACACTCAGAGTACACTGGCTATTTTATTAAAGAAATGCAGTGTTGTCTCATTTTATTCTAAGAAACATGGATATTAAAATGTAAATGATGCCACAGTTTAGGAAACGGCAGGATTTTGCTGTGGAAAAGTAAGTAAAAAAACCAAGGTAAGTGGGTTAAAAGCCAAGTCACTTTCTATTAAGTAATTGTTCACATCTTCTCAGGTGTGAAATTCCAAAATTAGTGGGCACAGTTTAGAGTCCAGAACTCTAATCTTTTCTATTGAAAACCAAACAACAAAAAAACCCTAAACAAAAACAGACAAAAAAAACCCCAAACTCCCAGTCGCTACCATTCCCATCATCTCCCCAGTTGCTGCTCTTGTGCCTCCTGCAAACATAAACTCAAATGACCCCAACACTCTCTTTTCTACTCAGCTGAGAGCAAGTGAGTAATACAGGGCTGTTTGCCCGTAAACCCCATGCATTTTGCAACTTCAGCTGTGCAGCCAATTGCCGAGTGGACAATCACGGAAAGCCACCGGGGGCACAAGACTGGACAGCTTGGGGCGTGATCACCTGGGCAAGCTGAGCAGTGACAACAGCGCCCTGCAGCAGTGTAGGTCAGACATATGCCCCAAAAGGGGTAAAAATTCTAGAGCCAGCAGAGCTCATCATCACGGTCCCTGGAATGAACCAAAAGAAAAGTCAGTATTGCTCAACTACTGCTTAGGCAGGTTTTCTCAAGCTGGACCCTAGGCACACTTAGGGCTGAGTCACTGCAGTGGGGGCGGTCGTGTGCCCTGGCGGATGGATGCTGAGCAGCCCACTTAGCCTCCACCCACTAGATGCCAGAAGCACCCACTCCACCTCAGTTAGAACACCAAGAATGTCTCCAAAGACTGCTGAACATCCCCTGGGGGCAAAACCTGCCCCCCAGGGTGAGAACGACTGCTTACAGGAAAAATCTCTGGGGAGCCAGTTTTTGCTGGCTCAGAAGCCATTTAAAACATTCACCTCTCCTCCAGCTTCCTGGAAGAGGAGCTTGGTGATTTTCCCTGATGAATCTTGTTTTGCCAGTACAACAAAACACAACTATGTAGCTACTTCATGGGTACCTTAAAAAAGAAATTCTGGCCAGCAGTGATTTGCGGGCATCAAAAGGATAGAAACCCAGCATGAACAACAAGTCCTACCACTGGCCAAAATTTCCATTCCTTATGGTTCACTAAGGAGCGCAGACCAGGAATAGTCTCCACCTCAGGGAAACTCGTGTCGCCCCCGCCTCCATCGGTCCCAACCCAATTCACCCCTTTGCACATTCTACCACCAGGAACATCATGACCTCCCCCGCTCCACCCTCCCTTTCCTGTCTCTGCACAGTATTCTCTGGGGGTGAGTCAATTCCTTAGCACTTTGGGAAAGAAATAGTTGCTGAACTCTCTCAAACGAACATGGATACAGTGACAAAACAATCTTGTGTGGTCATCTAAATACTGCGCCTATACACACCCCCTCAGCTGTTATTCTAAATCCCTCACCTGGCATCCACCTTGGAGAGCTGTGAATGAGTTACTTCTGGCTGCTGCACTCACTGGACTTGGTTTTCCGTCACAGCTATAGCTACATCTACTCAGTGATTCATGCAGCTTTACTCAGCTCTTGGCTGAGTGTCAAGAGATTGCAATATTAGGAAAAAATACTCACGTTAAGCAACTTTAGCAACTGTTCAAATGAACCCTCATTTATCAACTAAGAGAACACACAAAAACACTGCAACTATTTATACTCTTCTGGTGTGATTCACTTTTACAGACTTAAAAAATTGCAGTGCATTTTGGGAACTGATACATTCATCTGTCAGATGATGGAAAAACCATTTACAAACACACGGGAATACATGCGTTTTTGCTTGGAAAACATGACTGGGCCAGAACTTCCAGGAAGAGCCTGGAACTAGGAGTCAAGAGATAGTTAGGTAAAGGTCTTCTTGATGACCCCTATGTGACCTTGGCTGTCACTGACTCAACACACCTCCCATCATGACCGTGTGCCAGCCTTAAAAGTGCATGGTGCAAGGCTTAAAACAGCAAGAAGACAGACTCTGCCTTCTAAGGGAGTGGATCCTAATGATGCTCCTTCATAAAGGTGGATTTTCCACTGGGAGGTGGTAAGCTACCACCTGCTCTGTGGGAAAGCTTGCAGTGGTCAAGTACAAACTTATGGTTGAGTTTGTCAAATCCCACTATAGATGTTCACCATTTAAAATGCATCCCTGGCCAATAATCCCTCAAACCATTCTGATTATCAGGTATCCTTGAGTTTAATGGAACAGTTTGAATAGACCTTGGATTGATTCCTTGACTCGACACTACCCCCGGCCCTGCCGTCACAGCCAATACAACAGGCAAAGGTGGTAAAGGTGGCTGGGCCTCTGTTGTGAGAAAAATCTAAGTGGTGTGTTGTGGAAACAAAATGGAAACTTCTGTAAGGCAAAGGTTTCTGAACCTCCCAGTCAGGCCACACCTGGGCTCTTAAAATGGGTCTTATTAACAGAGGTTAATCACAGTATCAAAGCAGTTAATATGATGGAAGTGAGTTCTTACATTATAATTCTCCAGAAAAATAGGACACTGTATCTACTCAGTAGTCTGAGTGGATATGTCCTCCTCCTGTTGGTAAGCAGTGACCAAAAACCTGTGTGAAGTTTTATGCATGTGAGCTTTACAAATTTCTCCAACGTGTTGCTGAAATCCACCCAGCTCTTCTGCTGAGCATCACCTTTCTGAGCCCTACCCATGAATGAAACCAAGCTTTGCCCGTTCATTTGGAAGCAGTCTAGTATAATTGAAAGGAGGACCTCAGAATCTGACTTCAGTGGACTTAGGAATCTCTGCTCTGCCCTTCCACCAACCCTGTGGCTCAGGGAAACCTTACTTTCTGACTCTCACCTGCAAATGGAGGGAATTCCCAGAAGAACACAGTACTCTGTCAAGCAGAGAACACCGCAGAAATGGAAAACATCAACTTGACTTCTGAGCCTTTCTCTGCTTCATGAGTCTCTGTGCTCTTTCCTGATCTTAGGAAGCAGTGAAAGGGAACACCAGCTGCTTGGCCACCTGCCCGCCCGGGACGCAGCTGCCAGCCCTGGATGGGACTCACCTGTCATAGATCTCCGAGCCCTCCTCCAGGCCGGGTAGCAGGCCCATGATGAAGGCCTGGAGACTGGGCAGGAGCAGCTTCTGCAGTGGAAGGAAGTATTTCTCATACAGGCCAAGCAGCACAGGCCTCACCGACATGGCTGCGTTTGCCAGAAGAGGAAACAGCCCACAGCTTTGGGAAAGAAAAAAGAGTGAGGGGGTGAAAAAAGGCTGAATCAGAATTCTGAATGGTCAGCCAGTGGGGGGCAGTTTTCAAAAGCAGCCAGGGAGCCATTCAAGCTGGTGATGTGGATGCCTGCTTGTCGCGACATGGTCACGAGGCACTGCCACACCAAAGGCAGGTGGTGAGGCAGTGCTTAAAACACACTGACAGGGAAGTTGTGAGGATGGCTCCAACTTCGGCCAAGTGTCACACACCCACCATGTTTTGCTTGTTCGTCGTTTTCTAGCTGTATGAACTGAATTATGGATTACTTGGGTAATCAAAGTTAATATGGTGGGGAGGCTACTATACCTGTATAGGAACAGATCTTTGGCTAGCCATTTGGTCCCCACAATTTTGAAGATAATCTCGTAGGTTTCTAGGGCCTTTAGGTGCACACCGGTGGGCAGAGCAGGATGCAGGCACTGAGCTAATCTCTTGCTGATAATGAGCCGTCTCGGCAGCAAGGAATACTTCAGGTTACTCTGAAGAGCCTGGAAAACACATGCAGAGGGGGAAGTAAATCTGCCAAGGCCAGGAAGATACCTGCAGAAGTAACAGGACAGGGGGATTGCCTGGGGATCGCCAGAGCCAGGGCCAGGCTCCAGGGACACAATGCTGGAGGCACAGCAGGCGCCGGGGCCAAGAGCAAGGGGACTCCATCACCATCAGGACAGCTTCTCGTCGCCTGTGGGACCCTGCGTACAGGTGACGGAAGCCTCCGCTCCCCATCCAGGACTGAGCAGAGCATGGCGACCTCCAGACCCCCAGAAGACCCTTGTCTGAGTGCCATGGAAGCCCTGGGATTTTGCCCAGGGAGTAGAGGAGGTCTCAATTATCTCATCATCCTTCCAGCTCAGCTACATCCAGTGGCTCTGAGTGAGATGGGGCACACCGCTTGGCTGTGAGTCCTGGTCTCTTCCGTAGCTGCTGATCCTTCTAGGAGGGAACCGCATCCCGCAGGAGGAACACACAGCCTGGCTGGGATGGAGTGACTGGGCTCCTGAGCTTCATCTCCCCTTGTCTGTGCCAAAGCGGCCCTGGGCGCCTGCTGAGCCTGAGGAATACGGTCATGAGAGTGAGTGGGTCAGGTCTGCTCCTTAGAGCAGTGACCACGGGCAGAGAGCCACAGAGGGGCGGGTCCTCATGACTCAATCTTATAATACAGTGTCTGTCATTATGGCAGACAATCCACATAACTCACACAAATATTTACTCAAAGCCTACAGGGCAAAGTTCATGCTTCTAAAAAGCCACTCAAAGGCTCCCGCAGCATGACTCCTGCCTACCTCATCTGCCCCACTGCTTTGTAGCTTCAAACTTTGTAAGAACATGGATCCATTGGCCTGTCATTTGCTTCCCTGCTGCTTGAACAGCCTTCGCATTCTCTTTGCTAATTCCCCACACAAGACTGAGCTCAGCACCCCCTCTCATGGAGGCAGGAAGTTCCCCCCCATATTTAGTTACCCCTCCACTGGGTTCCATGCAACACATCTGGCACCAACTTTCATACTGTTCTAAAGGTTGTCTGCTTAAGGGCTGCCTTAGGCGGTGAGCAACTTGAGGGCTGGGTCTACCTTCTTCCCCTTGTGTTCAGCACCCTGCACAGTATCTAAAACAAAGCAGGTATCCTGGAAGACAATAGGTTCAATGCCAATTGCATTTTATCTGTGTGTCACACCTGCTGGCCTCTGGGACCAGATGGTCTCAGGCCATGACGGATTTCTTTTACTAAACGAAGAAAATGATCCCATCTCTAAAACATACACTGAGGTTATGCCAGAGATGAAGGGAAGGGATGGAAAATAATATTTTCATCAGAAGGCTAACTGAACTCTCAAATTCAATAAAACTGCATCTTAAAAAACAGAGCTAGAGGTCACTAACGGCCTTAAAACATTATTTAGAGGAGTCTGATATCTTAAAACAAAAGGACGCCAATGAAGTAGTTTTTAAAAATGTACTTATGTCAAAATTGAGGTGATCTGGAGCACATGTTGTAACAGAGAATAAGAACCAAGAAAGACATCAAGGCAAGAGGAATGAACATGGGAACGCGCAGGAGCAGCGTGTTATCACAGGCATTTACCATCACAGAAAAGCAGGTGGAACAGCAACACAACCATCACCAGCTTCGGTGGAACAGCAACACAACCATCACCAGCTTCAACACGTACGAGCTCCTGGCCAGTCCCAGACACGGCTTTAGTAAACAATGTCTGTAACTCAACTGCTTATTGATAATGTGGTCACAGGCTTTCTCCATGGATTCAAGAGTAGGAGAGCTGAACTCTAACTCTTCATTCTAACAGTTTAAGTTCCGTCAGGTTAGAGCATTTGCTTTTTAAGTCACTACCAAATCTCAGTTTTGCTCAGTGTATTCTGCACTTCTGCCATCGAGGTGTAAAGATGCGACGCATCTCCTGGGGTGGTCATCTGGGATTCACAAGTGTTTAGTTCCCTCAGGCTGGGCATTTAGCAGGACTGCACTTCTTTGCCTTCTGAACCTATGCATGGCAACAGGACTTAACTCTGACCAGTGAGATGAGTGCAGTGTCACTTCTGGCACAGGCTTTAGAAGTCAATTCAGAGCTCACTAGGTTCTCTTTTTCCACCTCTAAGGCCATGGAAACATGGGTTGAGCTGAGGTCCCTCCCAGCCTGGCTCCCTGAGAAATTACAGATAACAGAAACCACTTGCTGACCCAGAGAGGCAGAACTCAATCATGTTGCAAAAAAAAAAAAAAAATCACTGACATTAGGGATTATTTGCTACCATGGCATAACCTATCCTGACTGATATACCTCTTTCCATTTAAATGCAATTACAATGAACCACACCATTTGTTTCAAATGAATGGGGTTGGTTAGTATTTCTTTCTCATTTAAATTTGTTACCCCACTTAGTTTAATTTGAAAAAAGACACAGAGAAACATAACTAAGAACTGAAGCTGTGACCAGTTCCTATGGAATGGATTGCTCATTATATTATATGCTGCCCATGTTAATCTGTGTGAACATGGCCTGTCTGAGACCAGGAGTTAGTGCCTGCCGAGGGAAACGTACCTCATGATGAACAAAGCTGTCTGGTCTAAAAAGCAGCAAGAACAAAGGATATAATGGACTAGTAAAAAAATGAGAAGCTGCTCCTCCTTCCTGATAAAAAAAAGGCAAAACCACATAAAATGCTGATCTTTTCACCATTGGCTTGGTCATTTAGATCAAAGCACATAGGTTCAAGAGCAGAGCAGAGCCGCTCAGAGATCAAGTTCATCAAATCTGGAGTCAGGATTTGGCCAGACAGAACGTGTGAGCCTGCTCCCTGGTGCAGTTATGACGTTGAGCCCCTCTGTACCATGTTCATTGCTAAGAATGGGGCTAACATAGTGCCTAGGTCATGGTGATTGTGTCTGTAAACAGGCTAAACAAACAAACTGAAGCTGTGATAATGCGAGCCTAAGTAGGTGAGCTTGTAGGTCAGAGCCTGGAATTCCAGTTCCACCATTTGCTTGTCAGGCAAATTCTTTAACCTTCCCAGCTGTAGTTTCATCTGTAAAAATGCAGATAATGGGGCCTCCCAAAAGTTTGTAAGCATCATCTGAGACACCACATGTAAAGAATTTAGCGCAGTGTCTGTCACAGAGTTAGCGAATGCCAAACATGAGCTCTTATGACAACAAACTGAAAATTGAGCATAAGCTTTAGGAATGAAAACAAGATGCACTACATTTTAAAAGGATCAATGGAAACCCAGTTGTGTATAAATCACACCCTTTATTGTCACAAAAGCAAACAAGGACACTAGCTACTGTATTAACAATAACAGTTGAGAAATAACATCAGGTTAGAAAGGAGAAGCTCAAACTGTTGTACATGTGTTGGTGAGATCAACTGCAGACCCGAAACATGACAACAATGGCCAAGGGACACTGCAGGCAAGGGGACAGTCTGCATTTAAGAGGTGGAGATAAAGAATCTGAACTTACCTTTTAAGAAGACAAAGTAAAAGATAAATAGTAATTAATGTTTAAGTTTATAAGGAAAATAAGCTATTATTTCTTAAATGATATTTAATGAAAAATTTCTGAAGAAACATTTTGCAGGTCATAAGACTGGAGATGAAAACCCAGGTGAAGATGCTTTGCAGGTAGTGGATTCAAAGTCCTTCTGGAAACAAGAGACAGAACCCCTAGACAGAGCGCCTCCTGCCCGAGTGACAATGCACTCAGGAAAAATGGTTCTGGAAACTACTTAAAAACACCTTCTGGGGGAGCAGCCCTAAGTAGCATCTCAAAAAATGTGCTTGAAGGGGAACACAACCCAAGCCTTGATGGCATTAAGGAAAGGGTGCTCTGTTCTCCACCATCCATCCCTGCCCCTTGTGCAAAGGCTCAGGGGCAGGACCAGAGAAGAAGGAGCCTCTGGTCAGTGGTAAAGGCCAGCACAAAGGTTCCCACTCTGGCTCTCCAAAATCCTATGTTTATAGGCCTTTCCTTTAGTTTCCTTGAGGGCTAACGTATGGCCAAGGGGAACAGGTCCACGCTTTCAGGGCAAACTTTAAAGAGAGTGAGTTATCTAATGATTCATTCCCTCCCTCTGGCTGCCAAAGATTCAGGGCTTGTTGTGGCTCAGCCACGGTGGCTTTCTTTAATCAGACACCCACAATTCAAAAGCTTCTCTGACTGTGAGCTATCAACTCAAACACCCTTGGACATGAGCAAAGTACTTGGCTGGTGTGGTCAGCCCATTTAGAGGCTCCCAAGGACACTTCTCAGCAGGAAGGTGGAGGGGTGGGGTCCAGCCTGATGCCCATGGCTGCAGCTGCTTTTGAAAAAGAGAACGTTCCACTCGGAGCAGTCCAGGCCTTGCAGGTTTCAGAAGTGAGTGCTATGTACTGCTGGTGGGAACAGAAATGGTGCAGCCACTGTGCAAATCATGTGGGGGCTCCTCACAAAATTAAATGTTTGATTTGTTTACCAAATGATCCAGCAATCCAATTCTGGGTATACATCCCAAGAACTGAAAGCAGGGACTCAAAGGGATATTTGTACACCCATGTTCACTGCAGCACTATTCACAATAGGAAAAGGTGGAAACAACCAAACATCCATCAAGAGATAAATGAATAAACAAAACGTGGTCTGTTGTACATAGAATACTACTTAGCCTTAAAAAGGAAGGGCAGAAATGAGGGAGCCAAGATGGCGGCGTGAGTAGAGCAGTGGAAATCTCCTCCCCAAAACACATAGAGCTATGAAAATATAACAAAGAAAAATCTTCCTAAAATAGAGACCACAGGACACAGGACAACATCCAGACCACATCCACACCTGCAAGAACCCAGCGCCTTGTGAAGGGGGTAAGATACAAGCCCCGGCCCGGCGGGACCCGAGCGCCCCTCCCCCCGGCTCCCGGCGGGTGGAGAGAAA